AGTTCAAGGACTTTCCGCTCCTGGGCGGCCAAAGCAGTAAGAAAGTCATAGCCATTATTATTTGTATCCAAGAAGCAGTGCTGGCGTGGAGGTAGATGAACGTCTAGGGGAGGAAATGAGGGAATTTCTGGGTCGCCGGGCTCATTACACTCGAGGCAGGGGAGAATTGGTCCGATTGTGTTTGGGAGAGGCCAATCGACGGCGAAACTGTAATTGGGAAATTTAAAGTGAGGCGTTTTGAGTGACGAGAAGCAACATTAGGACGTGCAGGGAGAGACGATCTCTTTGCCTGTCGTGCAGTTTCGAGGGAAGGCGAATGTCCATGTCCGTCATCCGGAGGTTGGGATGGTTGGTGGGCTGGAGCTGGAGCGGTCGAGGCCTCGTCCATGTTTGGTTCCCCCGGATTGCTAAAAATCAAAAAGTATATAGGTATAGAGCGTAAGAATAACCAAAGAATGCCATTACCCCTGGACCAAAATCACATCAAACAATACAAAGAAGGACGAATAAACAAAACAAAAACAGGCCGCCAGCTCGTGGTGATAATAATAATAACACTCAGGGTTCATAAAGAAAAGGAGATTGTTTGATTGATCTTCAGGAGCTCAGGAGGCAAAAGCGACGAATGAGGAAGACCCGCTAAGTCCCGTGACACGGGCCAACTCGGCCGCTTCGGGTCTAGCGCCGCATCCGTTGAAACAAAGCACGTGACAAACCCTAATCTACATAGGTATTTAAAGAAGAATCATCCGGGGAACCGTTAACCGTGCCATGCTTACTCACTCTCTGTAGTGATATTGATTGAAGACAGCTTCATATCGATCAAACCAGTTGATAATGAAGCTTATATCCTCGCAAGACACTCGTTTTGGATTCATGGGTTTTTGCTTGACTCGTTTGTAACGGTTCGCGGCAGCTTCGATATGCTCGATGGTGGGTGGGCAAAAATTAATGTCCAACTGATGAATCCATATCTTAATTGCCTCTTCCTGGCTGTCATTCAATGCTCGATTCAGTGGAACCCTCATAGTCCTTGATTTCTTCCTGTTGATCCTCCCATACAAGGTGGCATATGGGACTTTGAATTCTCGCGACAGAGATGTGATTTTTAATTTTGAATTGCTTTTGTACGCGTCAACAGCTCTTTGCAACTGCTCCTCAGTGTAATTAGAAGATTTAGGCATGGTTATAATTAATGATGATTATTTGAAGATGAAGAATGAAGATATTGAAAATATTTTCTTTACAGTGTGGTTTTCCGTACACTGTGGCGCACTCACTACAGAGAGTGAGTAAGCATGGCACGGTTATCGATTATCTAGATCTTGTCATCAACTCTCTTTGTACAGAGTACAGAGTCTTCTAATACTACCACCACGATCAGAGCTCTCGAATTGATCAAAAGTATCGGCACAGTTGGCAATTTGGCAATTTGGCGAAGCATGTCCAGCCTTCAAAGGCTACCTATCATACCTTCACCCTGGAAGGGAAATATCGCGCACTCTGTCTAAATGGATCACAAATATCACCAAGAATGGCGTCAGACCTGGATTATGCCGTATTTGCACCTACGTCCCCTTTTCATTCACATTTCGTACTCTGTACAGCAAACTTGCCCCCCAGCTACTCTAGTGTCCGGCGGAATATGAGGGAGCGAAATTATAGGGCCAAGCATGTCAAAACGTGCAATATCTGCCTTCTCGCAGGCCTCAATGGAAATTTTCAAGGGAGCTTAAATGTATTGCTGAGTGCTGTCCATTTGGGTGACAAGTATCCCGTCGCTCAGGCTTGTCTTTGACAGCTCTAGGAACACGGGTTACGGGGGGACGGGATCTCTACCTATGCAATTTTCGATGAGATCGAATTTTTATTCTTCTCGCCTGCTGTAGACAAACCCCATGATACAAATCGTCATCAGAATCCTCCTAGTCGTGGAGGAGTTTTCAAATGCTTCTAGTAATTTTGAGACATAAAGGAATAATAGGCTTGTTTGATATCTCGAACGCCTATATGGCAGTGGACAGCGTGTTTAGCCCATAAAAGGTCCACCAGCCATGAACTTCGCGTATGTGGTCTGTGGTTGAGAGGTAGCTAGGAAGAGATAAAACTCAGTTTTTTGATTCTGTGTTGCCGTCGTGCTTGTTGGCTATCCGAAATATTGTCTATATAAACAACTCTATTATTGCCAATCCAGTCATATACTTTTCCAAGCACACCATCATCAGACATCCTTCTGGGATGATGGAAATCTCTCAGCCTGAGAGGGAGCCTGTCGAGTTTGATCTCCAATATATATATATATACATATATATTAAGCCACTATCTTATCTATAGGTCTACAAGTCTATCATATTTACCATAAGATCAAATCTTCATATCCGATGCTGTCTTCCCCTGCGGATCTCTAATCATAATATGCAGTAGTGCATACCCACCCCCATCCCCTTCAGCGTCAATACCATAGTCCGCCAGCTTTATTCGGATAGTGTCCACCGTCCGCCATCCCAACCGCTCATACAGTGGCATCCCCGCCGGCGTGGCTTCAAGGAAGATTCTCGCGTTCTCGGCGTCCGCCTTCTCGATACCCCACTTCAGCAGCCGAGAAGCGTGACCCTGGCGCTCAAACGCGGGACTCGTGGCTATGAGTTCAAGCACTGGTGTGGTGGTTTGAGGTGTCTTGCGTTAGAATCCCGCATCTGCATATGTATATATATACGCTATTTTCTACATACCGTAATCCTTTTCTTCGTCTAAATACTTCTTCCGCCCAGCTACCATCTGCCGTAGAAGTTCAGTGAATAACTCCGGATGGGCTCCCGGCGGCGGGTTGTCCATGAGATATTGCTTCTTCTTCTTATACTCCGGTTCCACCTGTGAGCCACCAGCATCCTTCGGCTTAGGATGCGGAGTTGCAAACCGCGCCCAGGCGGCTACTGTCCGGACGTGAGTGTTGCCCGTAGCATTGCGATTGTTATGATGACTGTTTCTGTCGTGGCTATTGTCCGGGTATCCGGCGCTGGCACGGTCATCCCCGTTATCGAGAGCAGTGCTCTCGGCGACAGGAACGGAAACGATGGTGATTTGGTTCGGGTCTTGTAGATCCTGTTCCTCGCGATCTGTATACCATTTCTCGACAATGGCTTTGCCGCCGCCTTCCCATACAAACGAGTAGCGGGAGAGTGTGCTAGTTTCGAAGGCGTCGGTTTTGATCTTGCCGATTACTGGGGCGTCGGCGGGGGATGTGAGGCGCTCGATTTTGAACGACGTCATTTATTTTTTTATTTTTTTCCTTTGACAATTCTGTTGTCCTGTAGTTAACTAGGCTGCGTATGTAATGTAGTGAGTGATGAGTTCGATTTCAATGCTCTTCTTTTTCTTGATTTTTTCAAAAAGGCTGAAACCTAGGAAAAGCTGGTCCGTTCGGTATGCCTCGGTCTCCAGAAATAGGGCAGAAAGGCCCGCCAATGTTCCCCGCCGTCTCTCAGGTATGCGTCATATCATACCCACGGAATCCTACCCTCTCGGTTTAGAAAAAGCGTGATTACGAGATCATTGATGATCGTCCTAAGCTCCAACTAGACTTGTCTGCACTATATCAAACTGACCATCGAATGGATATTGGTTGGTCGCTATCTTATCAGGGCCGGATCGGCGCCGGAGATCGATTTCAAACCCTCACGCGCCAGGGTGTGGTTTTTGGATTTCCAGCTCTATACGGCCATATGTGTTCCCTGCGTGTCCGCTACCTGACTCTGCGCTCGGCACTTGAAGAATAGTGTATGTTTTGCAGCCGCCTCTCTGGTTCCATGTGAGAAGAACATTGATACATGCTTCCTACCTGTTCTAGATGATGTGCATGGTGGCACTGAGTCATTGGCTGCAAAGGTGCCACTATAGTTAGTACCGTGCTCTCGTTGCTACCTGACTCGGTCCGTGTAGGGGATGGATGCGCCCCTTTCTCCATGGAGAAAGGAGACGAAGGCGTCTATTATTCAGAGTGAGAACTGAAGCATTTAACACTCAGATAAATAACTAGCTGGTCCGAGGGGGGGGTGTTGGGGGTCCCGGGTTGATCGGCCCTTCTACCAGCAGTGCGCTGGTGGTGATTGAGCTCTTTTGCCCCAGTATTTAGCCTAACTACATCTTCGGTACTATGTATCCAACTCCCAGAAGGACACATGCCATTTCCTGGTCGCTTCTCTGAACATGCCGTTTACACAAGCCAACAGCGTTGCTTGGGCCTCTAGTCCAAGGCTATTGTTTCTCGCTTGAAGGGTTCAACAATACTAATTATGGCTGGCTGTAGGGAAACCAGGGTGTTGATTTACAAGTTTACAACATCACAGCAGCCATAGGGTCCTTATTGGTGAACCTCGGGAAAAAAGAAAAATGTTTCTTCTTCCCCCGTGACACCCCTTCTCTGTGTGTGAAAATGATGGGGATCCTCTGCAAACAACACCTGCAACCTCCATCTCAAACAGGCTTCCCTGCCTCTGCAAACTGCTCTGATGGTGCCTATGCTCATGAAGGGCGCCGACCTTCTCTGGATAATCCAAGACAAGGGGTTTTCGCCCTCGTAAAAGCCGATTGCCATGGAGATGCTACTTTCCTTCGCTCCTCAAGGAGGGGTAAACTGGCTGTTGGGGACGTTCGGCCTGGTGCTGGGGGTCATTTTCTGCTATGTGAGAATTAATATCCCGAGCACTCAGATGAAGATTGAATATCTCCTAATTCATACGTGGGCACGAAAACAGTCTTCCATCACCGCTATCTATCGGCTTACACTCCATCCCCTCGCCAAGTACCCGGGTCCCTTCTTCTGTAAATTATCGGACTGGCCTACTCTGTTCAGCGCATCCAGTGGGAACCGTCACTTACAGGAATGGAAAGCCCATCAAAAATATGGTGAACTATGCTTCTGCTCCTTGAGGTTATACATTGCTCCTGTGCTTTCGGGTTATGTTAGAAACAGACTAACCATCGTGAAGGTCCAATTGTCCGGATCGGACCTAACACTATCTCGATAAATTCAGTCACTGGTTTCAAAGCCATACATGGGTCACGGCTTTCCAATGTTCGTAAATCAGACTGGTATCTCACGGTCGAGGGGGCAATTGGCACGCCGATGACTCAAACCATCCTTGACCGCCAAAAGCATGCATTTCATCGCCGTGTCTTGGACATTGCTCTCTCAGAGACTGCACTGAAATCAGTCGAACATATGATTGTAGAAAATATCCAGGCATGGTGTACACATCTCGCCGAAGGTATTTCGGAACCAGGCGACTGGTCCTCCCCCAAGAATATGGCCGAGTGGGCCACATATTTGAGCTACGATATCATGGGTGACCTCACGTTTGGGAAGAAATTTCACTGCATGGACAGTGGTGAGCATCGATTTGTTCCCCCACTTATACTGAATGCAACGAAGATGGTTTATCTCGTATGTTCTCCCTCTTGCCTGGTGATGTTATAGTCCTACTTTTCTTGCCGGAGATGAATTCTTCCATCAGCTAATATGGAACTTCCCCTTTCTAGATTGGCCTATCACCTTTGGCACCCTTTGTGAGACTCTTTCTTGGCTCTCCCATAATGAATGTAATTGGCGGTCAAATGGCTCGCGACAACTTGAGATACAATAAATATGCCGCCTCTCAAATGAAACAACGTATTACAGCCGAAACAGATGATTCCAAACCGAGTAGAAAAGATCTGGCACATTTTCTCCTAAATGCCAGGGATCCCCAGACAGGAAAGGGGTTCACAACGGAGGAACTTTGTTCTGAGAGCTCTCTTCTCATTGCTGCAGGTTCAGATACTACCTCCATTTCCATATCTGCCATAATGTTCCACCTCTCCCGCAACCCCGAAGCGCTCGACAAACTGACATCCATCATTCGTTCCAAATTCTCTTCCCTGGATGAAATTCAAGCAAAAACGCTCAACAACCTCCCTTATCTCCGGGCATGTCTCGACGAAAGTATGCGACTCTCGCCCGTTGTCCCATCTCACCTACCCCGCCAAGTTCTCCCGGGAGGCCTCAAAATTGACAAACACAACTTCTCCGCCGGCACTATCGTCAACACGCCTCCGTACACCATAAACCATAACGAAGAGTACTATCCAGACCCCTTTTCCTATCTACCGGAGCGTTGGATCGTCGACCCGAACGTCGCGGATGGTGATATTAGCTCCGAGAGTAAGGTCGCTATCGCTCGATCTGCCTTCACAACGTTCGGTCTCGGTCCACGAGGATGCGCAGGGAAACGACTTGCGTATCTCGAACTTAGCCATGCCCTTGCGCGGTTGCTGTTTTCTTATGATCTACGCGTCTCACAGACGAGCGAAACTTTGGGTGCTAGTAACCCGGACCATGAACATGAAGGGAGACGGAGGCCTGATGAGTATCAGCTGGAGGACTATTTCCTGGTGACGAGGTATGGGCCTATGTTGGAGTTTAGGGCTAGGCGTGAATAGGTTCATAGTCAGCCATGGGCTCTGCCAAAACCGACGGGCTATTTGCTTTTTGTAAATTTTCCGGATGTTGAATGCTCCCACTATTTCAGATGTGTATAGGGCTGCGAGTTTTTATCTTCATCTCAAACACAGGGACTAGCATGGTGAAGGATGGGAAGGCCTTTCGGTATTTCAAACTATAGTCCCGATATAATCTTATCGTTTCCGGGGACGTTGTTCCAGTTAAAACTATTTACGGAGCTTCATTCCCTTCGGTATAACCCAATTATGCCCCTTTCCTATTCGTTCTCGCTACGTTCCAAAGCTACTGTTGATAATACACAATTGAATTATACATACACCTTTATCATGGATCTTGTTGCGCCTTGCCGGCTTGTAACCACGCTCCGGACTACAATCGTGCGGTTCAAGACTATTTTAAACGTACGTGGTAACTTTCTCAATTATACAACACGAATATCAACGAGGAAATACCTGAGGTATTTCCTAACAGTCGCCTTATAGCACCCGTGAATATTCAGAATGCCCCTACAGATGATGTGGAGACTAAGTGCTTTCAGCTTGCCTAGAGCCCTCGTAGCACCATGCCTTTATTATACCTCTAAATGCTTACTTCTCTGAATCTTAGAGTTGTACGCAGTAGGCGCAGTGATTGTGCAATGATTGTACTCCTTGAGTGGTACCTTTTCTCTAGCAATCATAGTCCTATTCTTTCCAGAGAGGGAGAGTTAACATAAATACCCCGTGCTCCCTCGACGTTTCACTTATACCTTTTTTTTTCGTCTCCTATCTCAAACCATTTTTTGATCAAATTCATTCATTCAGTTTCCCATGCTGAACATTTGTTTGGCTCGCCATAAAGATTGATAATCATACCTAAGGAGAAGTCCAATCTTCCAATTCCCGGTGTTCACGATGAATGGCACTGAACCTAAGAACATTCTAGTACTCCAATTTGTTGTAATATTTTTTACAGAACTGTTCCACTCGTATGGGAGAATTGATACGCTTGAAAAATACGCCACTCTCGCTTCCATGAGCCTTTATCACGAACATACCACCAGCAGAGGAAACAATGTGATGAAAATGGGTGCTAAAGACATGCACATAAAACTCAAAATCAGTATTCAAGATCAATGAGATTTCAATAATGAATCACACTAGAATCTTTTCTGAGATAGAATATGTAGGCAGGAACTCACTGGATATTGTATATAATGTTTATATACACACAAAACACACATGCATCTGCAACACACCTGTGCATTCAACAACAATGGATACCTAGATAGATGGACCCCCTATTTATATCTGCCTCTCTTTCTCTGGGTCTGATGCTCACTACAACGTTTCTTTCCTGGTATTCATCAAAGCCGCCCAGCCATTGTTGCTGGTTCGTTCTATAAAGAGCGGTTCCAAACGGGTCTACCCTCAAAGGACGTGGCAATTCAGACACACGCATGGTGTATGATCTCCGAATAGCATAAAGGGCGACTAAATCTGACAACCACGCCTGAGAGTGCCATTTAAAGCAGTCTATAGTGATATTTCAATGTTTTTCAACGTAAAAGCTTAATTTCATGTAATCTCTCTATATATTATAGAAAAACCAACTTTTCCGAGTAAAATGCCCTGTAACGTGACCTCACATGATATCACATGCACCCCATCAAATCCATCCATGGATATGTAGTGGCGCCTGCCAATTGCACCACTCTATCTACCTCCTACCACCGCCTCTAACGCCCCGTAGCACCCCCTATTACTTCCACTTCATACCCCTACCTCCATCTTACCACTCACTCTTACCACCCCTACCACCCCTACCACCCCTACCACTTCTATCACCTCTACCACTCCTACCACCCCTACCACCTTTACCACCACTGCCTCTACCACCCCACAGCCCCCCCTATCGCTTCCACTCCATATCTCTACCCTACCCCCATCTTATCACTCACTCTCTTACCATCCCTATCACCTCTACCACCTCTACACTTCTTCCACTCCGACCCCCTCTTACCACCCCTTATCACCTCTTATCACTCCTATCACCTCTACCACCTCTACCACCATCACTGCCTCTACCGCCTCGCAGCACTCTCTATCACTTCCACTCTCTATCTCTACTCTCATCTTATCATTCTACCCCTCTCTTACCATCTCTATCACCTCTCTCATTTCTATCACCTCTATCACCTCTCTCTATCACCTTTTTCACTCTCTAGCCTCTCTATCATCATCATTATCTCTACTACTCTACAGTCTCTTCTATCACTTTCACTATCTCTACTTCTCTCTTACTATCTCTATCACATTTTGATCTCTGTATTTATAGTATGTACTGCTAAATACTCTGTAATAAAATCTCATGTGATGTCATATATATCTCTTTGAATTCATGAATGAGATTGAATAGCTGACTCTGCAATCTGTACAGCTCTGATTAATCTGATAATAGTGATAGAGATGATACAGAGTGAAAGAGAGTAGTAGAAGGAGTAGAGATGATGATAATGATGATGATGAGAGGGTAGAGAGTGAAAGAGGTGAAAAGGGTGATAACAGTGAGTAGAGATAGAGAATGAAAGTGATAAAGGAGGTTGTGGGGTGATAGAGATGATGATGGTGATAGAGTG